AATTTACGGACAGATGTAGTTCAGTCATCACCCCCATGAATGGAAAGGAGATATTTCCACATACGATTTCTTCCTTACTAGACTACAGTGCAGCAAGACAGTGATGACTGAGTCAGCAATGAACAATCTGTAGTGGTCTCAGTCAATTACATTTCAAGAAGGAAACTTCTGACTACTGTCTATGTTCCTCTGTATCCTTAGCCTAGGAACTTATCGGTGTGCAGAGCAGCTAGTGTTTATGATCTTTCTCAGAATTTCTTTCACCTCCTTGTTCCTCAGACAATATATTAGAGGGTTCAGTGCTGGAGTGAATACAGCATAAAAGACAGACACTATTTTGTTGAGGTTGAATGAATGGATCCTCCTGGGCCTGGCATACATGAAGAGAGTGGCTGAGAAAAAGAGAATGACTACTGTGAAATGGGAGGTACAAGTGGAGAAGGTTTTTCTCCTTCCCTGGGCTGAAGGCATACACAAGATAGTTGACAAGATACAGCAATAAGAGAAAACAATGATCAAGAGAGGTATCAGCAGGATCACCAAGGCTAATACAAAGTCCACTGTCTGTGCAAGGGACATGTCAGAGCAGGAAAGGTTCAGGACTGGAGAGATGTCACAAAAGAAGTGGTTTATGACTTGTGGACCACAAAATGTGAGGTGTGAAATAAAAGACACCTTGACCAAGGAAACAGAAAAGCCTCCTCCCCATGAGAGAATTGACAGCTGAAAGCACAACTTGTGGGTCATGATGGCTGGGTAGCGCAGGGGATGGCACACAGCTAAATAGCGGTCATAGGCCATTACAGCCAAGAGGACACATTCAGTGCACATAAGAGAGATAAAGAAGTATAATTGGGTCATGCAGCTGGTGAATGAGATGGTCATGCTCTGTGACCAGAATCCAAACAAAAGCCTAGGCAATGTTACAGAGACATACCAAATCTCCAGGAAGGACAAGTTCCCCAGGAAATAATACATGGGCTTTTGGAGGCGTTGGTTCCTTTTCACCACAAAAATGATGATTGCATTCTCAGTGATTGTTACCATGTAGGTGACCAGAAAGACCAGGTAAAGTAAGGTCTGGACCTGCAGCCCATAGGAAAATCCCAGAAGAATAAACTCATTGACAGCAGTTTGGTTCTTCATTCCATATTAGGCGCACACAGCTGTCCCTGCGGGAGTCAAAGCAGAAGAAAAGCAAATGTAAGAGCTCCACAAAAGCAATTTTCTGTGAAGAAAATTTTTCTTTTTTTTTTTTTTTAACTCTTTCCTGCAGAAACTTTTTACAAAGTAGAACCAGCATTTCTTACAAGAAAGAAAGAAAGTGAGAGAGACACATGTCTTTGTATCCAATGACTTCTTAGGTGCTTTCAATAGCAACACTGGAAAAATGAACCAAAATTTCACAAAAAAAAAATCTCCAGAAGGCCTCTGTAATGCACACTATTTTCCTGATAGGATGAAATATGGAAGAACACAGGGACTCTGGCTGCTGACATTCACATTGCTGAAAACAGAACCACAAATATTCAGCCAGTACATAGATAAAAAAGGCTAAAAACATAGATGTAATACTAATTGAACATGCAGTTTTGAAAATGTTGCACTTTCTTCATTTCCTATTGGAAATTATCCACCTCTATTTTTCAGTGACAGCAGAGATTGCCATTCTCTTAGCTACACATTTTAGAAGCTTACGTTTAAGCAAGAAATTTTTAGTGGATCTAAAGACTGGCTCCTCCAGTGGGCATTAAATGTCTGTCTTAAAAAGAGAAGAATAATTCCTTCTTATTTTCAGTTTGCACTTAGCTCGTATTTAGACATATGTCTAGTCATGGGTTTAACTAAAATATCTTCAAGTAGATATTGCATATTACTATTGAATGTTTTGCTCTAGATCCTTTTATAATTAATGCATGTCTGCTTAAGGCATTAATTGAGTACTGGTAGCCTAGACCGTAACATTGTCTATAGATACACGTCCTTCCAAAACACATCACATATTTGCACTCTAGAAATGCCTCTTTCTCTTCATCGACATTTTAGTGATCCTTGACTGACCTTGAAGTTGTTTTCTGTACCATAAATGATTTAAAACGGAGGAGGTGAGGTTTATTCTTACTGTTTTGAAAGGAAATGAGAGCAAATAATGAACACATAAACTTACTTCATTCCAGTCTACTTACTTTTAGAATTTAGGGCTTATTAGTATACGCATGTTTGTGTATGCATGAGAGTAAAACATGCCTGTTCAAAAGATACATTGATCTATTCAGAACAGTAACATACTTTTTAACTATTTTCTTTCATCACCTACCTGAATATGTGTGGTCCTTTGACTAATTAAGGGATGACAAATATGACTGGAGACAAGGAACAAAACTTTGGCAGTTTCTTTCTCCAAATATGAAAACAGAAGACTTTCAGGAAATGGCAAGCAAGATAGTTTTTCGATACCTTTTGTCCATCAAAAATGAAAAAAAATTGTTTCCATAGAACAAGTCCTGGGCAAGTTACATGATGCAAAGGAGATCCTGGGCAAAATATTATCCCCCATAGAGAATAGTAGCGACTGTCTGAAACTCAGTGAAGAGTAAAAATGGCACAACAGATCACCAGGCTTCTACCCTCACATCCTGTATTTACTACTCAGGTCTTCCTAATGAAGTTAATAAAAAGAACTGTACATCTCCAGTTAGAAATGTCATTTGTCAAAAAGAATAGACACCGACATTTTACACATCAGTGGGTATTTCTGTATTTACAAAACACACTGGGTATTGATGTCTTTATAAGGCACACTTTCAGAATATCAAAATCAAGGCAAGGAATAGCAAGGCAAAAAACCTCTTTTTTATTAAGAGGAAAAACATAATGGAAAGACTTGATGCGTTTTGTTATTATTCTTGACTTGCAGGTGTATTCCCTCATTATACACCTAGAAGTTTACATGATGAAAATGTATGGGATGCAATTATCAATAAGAATTGCTTTTTGAAGCATTCAGCCCTATAATTTATACCGTAACAGATATGTGATTTCCTGATTTATTCATCTGTTACTGTAAGCAAGCTTTAAGTCTTACTTACCAATTCAGGATTTCCAGGTATGCATGTGGCCTTTAAACTCTTGAAACGAGCAATGGATCAGATGTATTTTTTCTAACTTACCTGAAAGATTGTCCTTTAAAGGACTCGGTGCCTTTTTCTAGGAGAGCTTCCCTTATACAAAAAGGCCCAAGCTAATGAAGTCCTCTGCCAATTAAAGAAATGAAGGGACAGAAGAACCTTATTATCTCTAATTAACTCAAATAATTACCTCCAGATGTTAACTTATATGTATAATTATACATAGTAGAAACAGAGTCTGAAATAAGATCAGGGGAATAAAGACCATAACAGAAACTATATCTTGTACAGAAAAACAAATGTTCTTTCTCTCAAACATATTAGGAAGATAAGTCTAGGTAGGAATTGTATTTGCTGAAATGTTTGGGAATTCTGCAGCTTCATTTTGATTGAAAAGAGACATTCTGAGAATGACATCTTTTTCTTTAAAAAAAATCTCCTTCAGTTTACATATCTAAACATTAAAGATGCAGGAATTGGTTCATGTTTAAGAAACATAAACATAGACTTCTCTGTAGATGTGTCTACCATAAATACTTGGAATGCAGATTTTATTTTCTAGATAGGCATGCACTGTCATCTTAAATGTCATTGGACATGTCTAGTCACAAAAATACCTCCAGAGACGATATCATAGTACATATACTATAAATCACATGTGAGTATGATATCAATGCCATGTACAGCATAACTTGTATCCCAGAATCACAGGGATCCACAACCATCTCTTCAGGAAAATCCCATGTCTTTGTACCGACATAAAATAGAGAGCGTGGCAGGACCTACCACGCTATCCTGCCCAACCTCTCGCCAGGACGGCCGTTTCCTGCTCCTGCAAAATGGAGAGGATGCATTAAAACCCCACTATGCTAACCTGCTTGGCTTCTCATTCTCTCTGTGCCATCTCTCACCAAAAACAGGTAAGTTTACTTATTAAGGTAGCCTATGACATTTGGCTCTTGTGTAGATCTCTACACTGCAGACATCTTAACTCATTTATGTTAATCCACTTCACGACTTACATCCCTTAGATTTGCTGTATGACTGAAGTCAATATAGATTCTGACAGTCATTTCAAAGATGTTGGAAAGATGAGGAAAAAAATAAAAAAGGTATTTGGAAAACTTATTACAGAAGAAGGAGAAATTGCATTAAACATTTAAAAATCTTTTTTCATTGATAGTGGCAGAAGACAGAAGAAATAATTTTCTCTGCTCTGCTCTGTTCTTTTCTCTCTTTTTTTTATATACTTTGTGTTTTCTCGTACTTAACCGCCGATTTTTACTGCAGTACATTTCATTGTCTATGTTTTGCACGTTTTATCAAAATGCTACCTTTTTCTTTTACTGATAAATGATAATTCCTATTCTGTTTTTGACTGTATCTTTTTGGCTGGAATGTTATTTATTTTGTGTTTTCTTTTCTTGCTGTTTGGAGGATGGGCACAAACTTTGAGACTTCCTTTTGAAACTAATTTGGGGTAATATCTTTCTCCATCTGTTGGTTTCAGTGAAACACTTCAGGAATTCAGATATATGTAAAAATTGAAGATTTCTATCTTCCACTATCTACCACTTTTTTCATCTCTCTGATCTCTCAGGAGTCAAGTATCTGAACTTAAATACACTAAACTCAGACCTTCACTCCACAGGTAATATTAAGTAGTTTTCAGCTGTCCATAACTTCTACATCAGAGGTAGAATTCATCTCTCATAGGTTTAGCCTTCTGAAATTGCTGTACTTTACGGAGTTTCAAATACTAGGTACAGTACTGAAGCAGAAAATGTGAAAAATTCTATAAAGTTTATGACTTTGTTTCTTGGAGCAATCACAATTTTGTTCCTACTTTCTGTCATTTCGAAATCTTTCCAGATGAATTGTACAGTAAAAGCTGGTAGAAGCAACTGCATCACAGCGACCGTGTTCATTCTCCTGGGCCTCTTCAGACATACTGAGCTGCAGTTCTGGTTTTTCTTCATGCTCCCCCTGATTTACACTATTACTATCATTGGGAACAGCCTTATCATCGTTGTCACAGTTCACCCATCCTTTTATACCCCCATGTACTTTTTTCTCAGGGTCCTCTCCTTCATGGATATTTGTACTACTTCAGTTGTTGTACGCAAGCTGTTAGTGAATTTTCTGTCACAGGACAAGAGTATTTCCTACATCGGTTGTGCTGCCCAGTTGTATTTCCTGATTTTTCTAACAGCTGCTGTATCCTGTCTTCTTGTTGCCATGGCCTACAACTGTTACGCGGCCATTTGCAGCCCCCTGAGATACACATTTATGAGGAACAGAAGAGTTTGTTTTTCCCTAGTTCTGCTGCCTTTCCTTATTGGTAATGTTGTGCCGGTGGTCCAAACTGCTTGGGTGTTCACACTGGCATTTTGTGTGCCTAACAAAATTAACAATTTCTTCTGTGATATCTCACCACTTATTAGACTTCTATGTACTGAAACATCGCTGTATGAAATTCAGGCCACAATAACCACAATATTGGTCATTTTCACCCCATTTTCTCTCATCCTTCTGTCCTACATCTTTAGTATCTCCAGGATTTTGACCATGCCCTCTGCAAGGGGGAAATACAAGACCTTCTGCACCTGTTCAGCCCACCTCCTAGGATTGATGCTGTACTGTGGGAGTGGCAGCCTGATTTACCTAAGAGCCAAGTTCAGCTACCACAAGATGCTAAAAAAGTGCTGGCTTTAGTGTACACAACCATAACTCCCATGTTAAATCCCGTTATTTACAGCTTGAGAAATAAGGATGTGAAAAGGATTTTAAGAACAATTATGAGGAAGGTGAGGACAAGGTAAATGTGCGACTGAAAATACAGAGAGTAGGATTCTTGGGTTAAATACAGGTATCAGATGTGGATGTATACTGTGCTTCTGTGAAGACTTTGTATCCATTCTATTGAGCAAAGGGAAAAACCCAGATGTTGCAAGGAAAATACGATATTGTCGCGGAGGATGAACCGGATTCGACACGACGATCGATGTGATCAGGTACAAGCCGTTTATTAGTCCCAGATAGCTCACATTTATATTCCCCATTACATACGCGGCGATCTCCCATTGGCAATAATCAAATTAAGTCACATAGCAACCCGATTATGATTGGTGTGCATTACTCGTTCACGTGCTGTGCTCGTGGCTTTCTTGCAGGTGGCAGGTTCCACTTCAGTATCCTGGACTTATTTTTCTTTGCATTCATTTCCTTGTTTATACCACCGTTTGTCCTCTAGATGCCCTTGCGGCCTTATGCTAAGGCTCTGTGGACTTATGCTAAGGCTTCATGGCCTCATAGAGAAAATGCTGGATTGCTCACCTGTCCCCAGTCCTTTAATGCTTCATCCTCCACAAATCCCCCTTCTTTGTTTTGAGCAATCCAGGCCTGGTTGAAGACCTTAAGCATCAATTTCTTTATGCAGCTTAAAGCACAACCTACAATTCCTAAACACACAATAATTGCTACCAAAATAACAATACCTTGTTTAACTAATTCCCTTATCCATCCCGACAGACCCCAAGAAGACAGCCAACTGTCAAACGGTGATGAATTGTACGTAATAAGCTCTGTTCTTTCCCACAAGACAGCTAGCTGTTGGTGAATACTTTGAGAGTGATCAGACAGATTCATGCAACACATCCCCTCAAACTCTTGGCACCCATGACCTTGCGCAAGCAATAAGAAATCAATAGCCGCTCTATTTTGTAAAACTGCATGGCGAACGCTATCTACATCCATTAATAGCTGTGTTAATATTTCTGATGTGGTATTAGACTGCTTCAAGCTCCAGCAAGCTTATTTTTTGAGAATATTCCAATTCCTGGCAGCAGCGCCTCCAGGGAGGAAAAAGGATAACGCTACTGTTCCAGCTACAGATCCCAGCTGTACATTATCATCACACCCTGGATCAAAGTGTCTAAGAGTTCGCTTACTACGAGTTTTATTGAAGCTCAAAAAATCTCTGACACGTGGGGTGAACAATGTTAGCTTTCCTATATAACGCGGACCTCCTACTGGGTGAACAGGAATCCCTTCCCACGCGCGATCTCTGCAGATGAGGAAATATCCTGATGGCAACAGAAATCCCCCTGAGGTGTTAACCGAAAACTTTCCCATAGTGTTTAGCGAAAAATTCCAATGCCTTGAATTCCCACTTACATTTTGATAACCTATAGTATACTGCCTTTCACCTTGGCTATGTAACCAAAGAAGCCACGGATCTCCGAACTCAATCACTCCTGTGCCATTCCATGGCAACCACTGCGATTGCTGATGCAAATTGCTGCAATTTGGCTGGTTAGTCACATTTGCCCATTGAGCGGGTGCCATGGAACCTAGTAGCTCTAACTCCTGCAGAGGAAGTGAACTAGAGTGATTTAAATGTGTTAC